AAGAGAAAACAGCTTTCACTACAGCGCATGGATTATATGAATTCAACGTGATGCCTTTTGGACTTTGTAACGCGCCTGCTACCTTTGAGAGAAATATGGAGAATATGCTTGGAAATCTGAGATGGCAAATTTGTTTGTGTTATCTGGATGATGTTATCATATATAGCCCGGATTTTCCAACGCACCTCAAAAGACTTGAAGCTGTTTTTAGATGTTTTCGTGAATCTAATTTAAGGTTAAACGACAAAAAATGCCGATTTGCTTTTGAAGAATTGGAGATTCTCGGCTATATAACGAGCAAACATGGTATAAAACCCGCGGAACATAACATCAAAGCTGTCAGAAATTTTCCTCGGCCCAAAAAGGTCAAAGAAGTACAATCCTTTTTGGGAATGTGTTCATATTATAGAAAATTTATCAAAGACTTTTCAAAAATTGCTGACCCTTTGACCAACCTTATAAAAAAAAGTGTATCATTTACCTGGACAGAAAGACAAGAGGAAGCGTTTCAAACCCTAAAAACAGCACTATTAAGTCCACCAATTTTAGGTCACTTCAATCCAAATGCACCTACTTATGTTCATACTGATGCGTCCAACATCGGCATAGGTGCAACACTTGTCCAAGACATCGGTGGTGAAGAGAAGGTGATCTCATATTTGAGTCGTACCCTAAGTAAAGCGGAGCAAAATTATTCAACCACTGAAAAAGAATGTCTGGCCGTTGTCTGGTCAATGTCAAAATTACGACCCTACCTTTATGGAAGACACTTTAAAATAGTAACAGACCATCACGCCTTATGCTGGCTCAAAAACTTGAAGGATCCAACAGGTCGATTGGCAAGATGGGCATTGAAAATTCAAGAATATGACTTCGATATAATACATAAATCGGGAAAGAAGCATCTGGACGCCGATGGCTTATCTAGGGGGCCCTTACCAGAAACTGATTGGGATGAGGATTTTGAAAGGCTATTTTTAAATCAAATAACAGACGAAGAGGATAAATTTATCGAAAGTGTTAAGAAAAACCTTAATGGAAGCAGGCGATCAATTGCGCAAAACTTTAAAGAAGAAGATGGATGCCTCTTTAAGAAAAACCCGAACCCTGAAGGCAGGGCGTGGTTGCTTGTGGTTCCAGAGAATAAAAAGAGAGAAATTATGAAAGAATATCACAATCATATGTCGAATGGCCATCTGGGCGTCGCCAGAACCATGTACCGAATAAAGAGTAAATACTTTTGGCCATCCATGCTAAAGGATGTCTCAGAATTCGTTAAGACGTGTCACCTTTGCCAAAGTAGGAAAGGCTCAAACCAATTACCTTCTGGACTACTACAGCCCATCCCCCCAGCCAACTTTCCTTTCGAAAGAATTGGAATTGACTTTGTTGGTCCACTACCATCTACGAAAAACAGGAAAAAATGGATAATCGTGCTGTCGGACTACTACACTAGATATGCAGAAACAAGAGCAGTCTCGGAAGCAACAGTGAAAGAAGTTTCTAAATTTCTAGTAGAGGATATTTTTCTTCGGCACGGAGCCCCACAATATCTTATTAGTGACAGAGGCTCTCAATTTACCAGTAATTTAATGAAAGAGGTGATGAAAACGTGCAAGATTAAACATTGCTTCACAACGAGCTATCATCCCCAGACTAATGGATTGACAGAGCGGTTAAATAGAACATTGATCAATATGCTCAGTATGTATGTGAACACTGATCAGAAAAATTGGGACGAAATACTCCCATTCATCACTCACGCTTACAATACTACAATTCAGGAAACCACCGGATATTCTCCCTTTTTCCTGATGTTTGGAAGAGAACCCACGTCTCTTTTGGACGACAGGAATATCTCGGTGGACATTGACAAAGATGATTATGATGACTACATAAAACATCACTTAGACAAAATAAACAGAACAAGAAAATTAGTTATTAACAACACAATAAAGACTCAAGAAAGAATGAAAAAGAACTATGACAAGAAACACATGGAAAGAAGCTACGAACCAGGAGAATTAGTAGCAGTTTGGACACCAATTAGGAAAATAGGAAAGTGTGAGAAACTACTGAGAAAATATTTTGGCCCATATAGAATATTAAAGAAGCTGTCCAACGTAAATTACTTAATTGAACCAAAAGATAATCCTGGCCAAGACCCATTGATTGTCCATGTCTCAAGAATCAAACCCTATTTTGAAAGAATTGATGAGGTCAATCACGAGGACGTGACGACCTCTGGAGAGGGGGAAGTGTTACATCATGATTAATGGCGTATTTCTTTATTAGTTTTAATATATTTGAAATTTAAATTATATATTTATTTATTTTTATATAAAATATTCTATGATATTTATTTAAAACAGATTATTAATTTATCATCATTTGTATTTAGGTACACTGTGACTTCACTGCTCTCTTTGATGTGAGAAAATAAAAAAAGGATTCTGGTGGCTACTTAAAGAAGACTTATCTCGTTATTCCCTTTTATAAATTTCTAGGATGGTTGAAACACGCTCTGGTAAGATGCAGGACCCAGCACAGGAGAGAATCCAGGCTGAAGAGTCTGCCAAACCGCAACCTGGTGCAACAATATATACAAAAGTATATATACAAAATTATCGCCATAAACTCTGTGCAAAAAAAAATAGTCAAAAACAAATATTAAACTAATTAGCTAATATATTACATTGTCCACCACCAGACGCTGGAAGAATGCATCAAGGGCATCTGTGTTGTCGCGTACACTACACATAGGCTTGGTGTTGATTAGGGCTCGCCAGGTCGGGGATTTCCCCTCCAAGCTACCGGGAGGGAGCCCCTGGCTTCGCCAGGAACTTGAAGGCGCGCGAAGAGAGGCAGGTTCAGTAGGATAGGTATGAGCATCACCAAGTGGTTCAGCCCAAGGTTGAAAGTAGCCTGTTCAAGCACTCGACGTATTGGCATTCAGGGTCCCAAAGTCAAGAGAGCAATCTAAGTACGCTCTTTACCAGCCATGAATAAGCACTTTGGCTTCAAACCCTTCGTACAGCCTGGACCTTCTTGAAGCAGGAATATTGGAGCTGTCTTCATGTCCAGTAATGCCATGCGCAACAGAGGGACACAAGGCGAGCTAGTAAATTACTTAAAAGTCGCTCAGGGCGATAATAGGAACCCCAGAAGACATCTGTAGTGAGGGAGTTTGGACTGTAATAAGTCACAGCAAAGACATCCTTGGAGCAGTGGCCACCCAGACCTTTCGGTCCATAAACCGGCATGCGATAGCATACCCATTGCTGAATCTAGGTCACCTAACCAAAAGGAATGGTGCATTCTCCATGCACCGAGCGGCCATTGTTTGGCCCCTCGCGCCCGCCATTATGGTCTGGCTCCATGGGGTCGACCAATCAAACCCACAGGCGTCTCCGAGAGTTCATGGCAAGGTTGCTGACCGAGCCCTCCCGTTCGGACAAAGACAACTACATCACATTAGAGAGGGTACAAAGAGCCATCACAGTCAGGAATGTTGGTGCGGTCTCTAAAACCATCGGCCTGATCTTGCAGCCGTTGTGTCACCCTAATTAAGCCAATGAGCCTTCGCAACGTGCGGCCTCTAAAACCACAAGCCAGATCTTGCAGCTGTAGTGCCGCTTTAATCAATTCCTTGAGCCTTCGCAAAAGACATAGACCTCTAGAGCTAGATCTTGTAGACGTGGTGCCGCCCTGATCAATTCCTTGAACCTTTGCAACGTTAGGCCTTTCAAACCACCCACCAATTATTTTAGACATAGTGCCGCCTCGATCAATTCTTTGATCCATTGTAAACTTAGGCTGCTAAAATCAGCGGCTAAATCTTGGAGCTGTAGAGCCTCCCTGATCATACCTTGAGCCTTCGAAAGGTTAGGGCTCTAAAACCAGTCACTAAATTTTAGAGCCACGGAGCCGCTCTGATCAATTATTTGAGCCTTTGGAACGTATGACCTCTAAAATCAGCGGGTAATTCTTGGAGCCGTGGAGACACCCTGATCAATTCTTTTATCCTTTGAAAAGTTGAGCCTCAAATAGCAGCATCTAAATTTTGGAGCCTTCGAAACGTATGGCGTCTAAAATCAGCGGGGAATTCTTGGAACTGTGGATCCGCCATGATCAATTTCTTGAGCCTTTGAAACATATGACCTCTAAAACCATTGGCAACATCTTGAAGCCGCCCTGATAAATTTATTGAGCCTTTGAAACGTTAGGTCCCTAAAAGAGCAGCCATATTTTGCATCTTGAGCAATGCCATGATCATTTCCTTGAATCTTAGTATCATAGTAAGTCGAACATTTTTGAAAACTTTATCTTGGCTTGGGGTCCAATCTTTGTCCTATCTCTACACATTCTAAAGTTGTAATTTCAAGCTTATTAACTATGCTCCCAGTAACTTTTATCTGAGAAATATTTCTTACATTTAAATCTATTTAGACCAATTGTTGCTAGGGTTTCTATAACTTTACAAATATATTTATTAAAAACAAAAAAGGCATATCTTGACCAGGCTCACATGAACATTTCTGGGTGGCAGAGCGCCATCTAGTGGAACAAAAATAAACTAAACGTTTATATTTTAATATATATATTTACACAATTTACAGGATAAAATACTTAACATTAAATGGCCAATAGAACTAGAGTTAAAATAACATAAAATGCACATAGGATGTTTATACTTATTATTTTAACTCTAGTTCTAATGGCAATTTAATGCAACATATTTTCTGTGCTGTATATGGGCTTTTGTGCCTGAAAGCTAGAGATATTTGTCAATTAAAATTTTTAAAAATAAAAATTTCCCTGGAAGCCTGATGTTATGTATTCATAAAGTTAATATAAATATTCTTAATTTCATTATGTAAATAAGCAGAGTAACATCATCACTGATTATAGTATTCATCATATCATCATTAGATATGTAAATAGTAGAGCTTAAAGAGACTATGCAGATTGATACAATGATATTAGATATATCTTGGCCTATGGCCATACCACATTGAAAACACCGGTTCTCGTCCGATCATCGAAGTTAAGCAATGTCGGGGCGTCTGTTCCTCATGTTAGAGGCGACCATTTCTTTTGGAGCTAAGTCGGCCTGCCACTGAGTAGTGCTTCCAGTCTTAATGACAAAGGCAGACGCATTCTACTTCACCCAATCATGATGGTTGTTAACTTTACAAGCTTGATCCCGTAATATGATTGAGTGGAGATAAGAAAGAAGAAGAAGCAATGTCGGGCCCGGTCAGTACTTGGGAGGGTGACCACCTGAGAACACCGGGTGTAGCTGTAGGCTATTACCTTCCACTATGAGAAAACAATTTATTTCTTCCGTGTGCACCATTCGCTTAATACGATACAATGATAATAAAATCTTTAATATAGAACCAACGAGCAAATAATTCCTTTTCTTAACATAAAAAAACTTAACACCTGGTATTTCACATTAATATTGACACAAAGGATTATTTTATCGAATGATACACCTTTTCACAATAGCGTTGTTTGGAATAACATAAAAGGTTTAGAGAGAAAAATTTGTCATTCGCGCGAAGACGACGACCGTGGACGACGAAAGATTTCACAACTTCTCTAAACGTCGGAAAATTAAAGTAGATAATTCTGATCAAAAATGTAAGAATAACAATTAATGAAGTTGATAAAAAGACTAAAAAATCAATCAGTACATGTATTAGTCTCTATTATGTCTTTGCATGTTTACACGTTTGGGTAAAATTTCGATATACAGGATTTATTGAAAATCTTGATTTTTTTCAAATTTAATACTCTCTGTGAATTATTAAACAAAAAACTTTGCTTTTAAAAATTCAACATATAAAAGTTCGACATATAAAAGTTTCACTAAAGCTTCATTTTAGTGAATTAGATCAATCAAAAGAATATTCATTCAAAAGTCAGCTTTATAAACCAAATATCAGCACGACTGTGGCGCTCGAGTGGCTAAAGTTTGAACTAAAATTGGCTTTGTAATATTCGTGCCCCGTTTAAAGAAAGCTTTAAATAAAACCACCAAGTTGTATGATTATCAACTCCATGCATGTGACCTTACTTTAATTGGAAGGCAAAAAAATATTAAAAATTGACCATTTTGAGTTCCAATTTCTGCCACTCGAGAGCCACCGTCGAGCTGATACTGGCTTTATATAAGGTTGTTCCAAAAGTTCGTAAACATATTATGATTACGATTTATATTTTTAAAGTATTAACGGACTTTTAGGACAACCTTGTAATTCTGAAACTTGGCCCACCTGCTGATTGGCCACCCTTGATATAGAACATAAGAGATTAAATCATTCTTCTATAAGAATTCTGTTATAATTTTGCCAAGGTTACCAATATTACCAAGGTTGTCCCAAAAGTTCGTAAATGCTTGCAAAATATAAATCATAATATTTTTACGGCATTTTGGGACAACCTTGTAAAACTCGTCTGATTGAAATTATAGCATTCCCATTTTTAAAACACTTTAAGTCAATTCAACACAGCGCAAAAGTTTCGCAAATCCACTTCTATATGAAATACTTTACTCTTCTGCAGCAAAATATTTGCTAATTTTTCATCAGGATAGGCAAGAGTAGATGAGTTCTAATATTCAAAAACATTTAGGTTTGTATGTGATTTATTTTATTTGCTTATCCATAGTACACACGGCCGTACACGGCCATGATACACGCTTGTTCGGCGGTACATGTACTAAAATTGGAGAGATACAGGGAGGATTAGCTTGGCCCCTGCGCAAGAATGACGCGCAAAATCGTGAAGCGTTCCACGGCCATGATAATCATGGTGGTAGATATAAATGACTGCTTTTACTGTAAGTGCACCACAAGTCTACACATGTGAAAAGCAGTTCGACTTTGCACTTACAAATGTGCTAGAGCTCCGTTTGGTTACTTGCACTCACTGGTGAGGTTGGACTTTTGCAAGAATCGGGGGCCATTGGAGCTTTTTTTTTTTTTAATCAGAAAAAAGCGCCCAATGCGGGAATCGAACTCGGGTCGTAGCGGTCGAAAAACCAACGGTTTAGACCATCCTTCCAACAACTCCCTTTTTTTCTGTGATTAAATAAAGAATTGTTGTTGCAGAAGAGTGAAATATTTGATATGGAATCTGTCTGTAATTTACCAAGACAGGTTTTGCAACGAAACAAATCCCTTTTCTATCCTTTTAATAATAATTTATTAGTTATAATTGTAAGAGTATTTTATAAATAATTTCAGCAGAAACAATGAGTTTCAACTGAGCTCTAGTTCTTTAAAAAAAGACAAAATATTTTTTATGCATTACCAGAGTGTTTCAAAACTACTTTATCATAATATTCATAATGGGAATGGTATTATGAGTTAGTGTTTAGTTGAATATTTTAATATTTAGCTTTGAAAGCTTTTATTAGTTTAATAAAAATAAAATTACTATTTAGTTTCTATTATACACTCATGGACAAAACTTAATACTTATTGGGAGTGGAAAGTCTTTTATGTCACTAGTGTCGGTTTTTTTTTTTAAAAGACAGAGGCAATTTTGTTCATACTTGGTTATCTCGTGTATCTTCAATAAAGGTCACTGTGTATCAAATATCTTTCAGAGTTATTGTCTGAATCCCGAGATACATCATGCTAAACTTCCTTTACTGTTTGGTGACCTTGAGTGAAGTTTTATAGCAGTACTTACTATTTTTGTTTTTCCAGACAATATCATTCACATGACCATACCTTGGATTATGATTAATGGACGATTATTTTTAGTGCAGAACCTTTTTTCCTAACATCGATTTATTAAACTGAACACGTAGCAAAGTTCCTAAAACAGCTACTTTTTTTCTAAAACGTTGCATCTTTTTGCTTCTTTTTAAAGAGCTTATATATTTTTGTAGCTAAGAGAATTTTTTAAACACAATTTTTAATTTCTACTTTATAATTTTTTTACTTGGGTCATGATGGTTTATGGGTATTGAAAATATATGTACTAATATATTAAAAATATGATAGTAAAATCATAGAAAGATATATAATCTGTGTTAGATACTAAATTAAATAATTTTTTTTTTTTTCAAATTTTTCTTCCTTTACGCAAGTCTGTATCTTCCAGTAGCGAAGAGTTCGCCCCAAACCCAACCCTGGCATCAAAAATTTTGGCCAACCCATCCCTATTAGAAAGTCTATAGCCATCTTAGGGGTGGAATTCGACCAGACTTGAGGATTCGTCTCTCATTTATCCAAACTCATTCGCAGGTGTCAAGAAATTATCCAAAGATTGACGAACTCAATCCATAGGAAATTCGGTATTTCCTATGCTGCTGGCATCAAAATCCTTCAGTCGGTGGTCATCCCGGCCCTTCTATACGGAGTCTCAGCCTGGGGTCGTCGCACTTCCTCCAAGGAAGGTGCCCGTCAGCTCCGGAGCATCCACTACACGTTTGCAAAGCATATATTGAGAGTGGGTCCTTGTACGCTAACCATACCAGCCATATCCCTGACAGGCAGTCCCCTCTTGACATCTTTATCCAGGCCCGGCTGACTTTCCTAAAGGAAATCAAGGAGGGGAACTACGGATCGAAGCCAGGACCTGCTGCGCTGCCATACCCCCATTCAGACGACCCCTTTCCTTCAGTTTGAACCTATAAGAGGTAACAACGCCACTAATTTTCACAGATGGATCAAAAAGTGATTCAGGCGTTGGTGCTGCGATCATCTTCCCTTCCCAAGAACATCAGTCAGTTCTCCAAAAGCTTCACCCAGACTGCACTGCCTTTCAAGCTGAACTTTTAGCAATTCTATGGGCAGCTCAAATCTCAGAGACTAGTCCAACCAAAACAGCAGTGACCATTGTCTCGGAGTGTAGATCCGCTTTAGCAGCTATCTGCGCTTCAGGACCAACACGTACATCGCTAGTGGCAAAAATAATAAAAGTCCTTAACAGAGCTCCTCAGGCTGTGTGGGGTACGCGGATACACTCGAATCAATGGCAATGAACTATCAGACAGTGCAGCAAAAATTGCCGCTACTTCTGTCCTACCACACTCATACTACACCCTGCCTTGAACTAATGCTCGAAACTTAACACGTAAGTCTGCTCTATCATCATGGACTGTATTATATTCCCAAGACCATTCGACCAGATCCCTCAGGAGAATTTATTCCACTCCAAGTCATCTCCTCAAATTTCTACCAAAACTCCGCCATAGAGAGGCCATCACCACCATCCTCACAGACCATGGCCATGTACTGGTAGACATTACACGTGTGCATCCCGAAACAGACCCTACTTGCATCCACTGTTCATAAGAGCCAGAGCAGCCGATCATCTTCTCTTCAGCTGTCCAGCATTCCTGAGAAATAGGATGCAAACAGCTATCCTGCTCAGATTGATCCACCTCAATTCTATATTTATGACCAGCCTTCCAGATTCAACCTCAGCATGGAACTTCCTGATCAACTGGTTCAACTCAGCAATCAAAACAGGACGCGAGTAAAAGCGCTCAGTACTAGTCCAAACTAGTGAGCTGGACTCCTCGGGTAGTTGGCGCTCTGCGCTCCAGGAACCTGGGTTATAAATCTCTCTAAATAAAATCCCTTTATCAAAAAATTGACCAGAAAAAGGTGCCACCACACAACGCGGCATCTTCATCTTCACCGCATTGGCTGATTTTAAAATAGAGTGAGCCTTTGTGCTACTGGAATAGAAACATGGTCAATGGGGATAAAATGTCTTCAACATATAAGTTGGCAACAATGCACCTCTCAAACAAGAGCTGATAGAAATAAAAGGCTTGCAGATTTGGAATCAGCACACCGAAAAAATCTCTAGAACAGCTGTTTCTTTTACGGTAACAGACAAAAAAAAAAAAACATTTTGTGTTGGCCAGTGTTATAGAACTTTCGTACCTAAATTTTAAACATAAATCACAATAAGGGTCAAGATATTAATAGTGGGAAGTTAACAAAATGAATCCTAACATATTGTCCCTACGATTATTTAAGAAAATGAGGTGAAATATCACCCAAAGCCTGCGAAAAAATGCCTTACCAACAGATTAAACTATACATATCCTACGATCCATCCCGCCCTTAAAAAAGAGATAGACAATCA